ACAGGTCTCACGCAATTTATCTTGTGACAATACATCTAAATAGTTATGAAAATATTCTGTATGTGCATGTAGTAGATAATGTGAATATAAATTTGAACAATAACATCTTTTTGGTAGTTATTTAATTTTGCATATAGGGTGACCTGAAAAGTCCACACAAGTGACACACATGGCCGGTCCTAGGGGGAGGGCAGCAGGGGCGACCGCCCTAGGCCCAAAAAAAAGTAGAAAGAGAATTAGGCCCAAATTTTTTTCTTTATATGTAATTTGAGTAGGCTTCTTTTTTTATTTATAATTTCAATTAATTAATAAGGTCTAATGTGTAATTTTTGTTGACAATTTGAGACTTTTAAAGCATAGGTAAAAAGTGTTGAACAGAGCTAGACAAGTTTAAAAAAAGAATATAAATTTAGTTTTGATTTTTAAATATAGTTGGTTGTAAGTCAACACATTTGTTGTTGAATCAATAAAAACATGTCTCTTCACATCTTTTTAGCCTTTAAGATTTTTTATTCTTTTAATTACAAAATTACCAATTTGTATTATTGTCTTTGGGTTGCCAGTGTCTCCCAATTCTCAAACATCATCCCAATTATCTATTATGATTAAAAAACTTAATGGATTAGCAATTTTAAACATTGAACATGTGATCTTGGAAAAGATTGATTAAAAAGCAATAATTGATAATTTTACTTCACAATATTCTTTTCTGATACTTGTGTTGTTACTTTTGTCCAAATATGCAATTCAAATAATATGAGGGTGAATTTCAACTTTATTTTGTAACATTTATTAGATAGTTGTAGGGATAATTCCTGAAATATGAGTAATTACTGTCATGTTCAAAAAATATGATACTGTCAAAATATGACAATAATTACTTCTATTTAGAAAATAAAAACATGATATTCTTAGTTTGGAATATACAAACATTTTTAGTCGTATTTAGAGTAATTTCTCCTAGAGTAATTTTTACTTTGAATATAATTTACTGTTTGTCTTGGAAATAAGGCCAAAATAGTAATTCGCCCATAGGCCCAAAACTGGACAGGACCGGCCCTGGTGACACAACATGTTTATCAATGATTTCTGCCTTTCGGGAAGGCTAGTATATATTTTCATTCTTTTAATGAAAAATGTTAATATTAGTTTCTTTTAAGGCTAAAGGGTCAAATAGACCTTCAAACTAATTTAAAAAGTGTAATTCACCCCTTCTATAGAAGGCTCTGTCCGGCCGTTGTCATTTGGGGCGGTTCCTGATGGAATTATTTGATAAATTTTTTTGAGCATCTTCTTCATCAAGTCTAGTTTACTCATACTAAATTTCAGCTAAATATTCAATCAAGAAGGCAGTCAAATGAATTTTTTAAGATAACTGAGCAGTTAAACAACGCAGTACATTTCAGAAAATCATTTGACTATCTTCCCGGTTGAATTTTTATCTGAAATTTGGTATGGGTAAACTAGACTTAATGAAGAAGATGCTAAAAAAAGTTCCAGCGGAAACCGCCCCAAATGGCGACAGTCGTACAGAATCTCCTATATAAGAGGTGAATTACACTTTTTTAAGTTAGATACTCTTGTTTGATAAAACAGTATGTCAGTATTTAAGCAGAATTGAAGGGAAGAATTGAAGCGCGCCATTTCATTTAGCCGCTAAAAATGATGATCTTACCGTTCGCAGCTGCCGTAAGTACAAAATTTTCTTGTTCCTTTCATTACTCCGTTAACGAAACCCCTGAAACCTCTAAAAGACCTCGACAAAAATCCAATCTCAAATCCAAATTCCAGAAACCATTATCTACACCAGCACAGCTAGTGAACTCGAGAAATCAACCTCCATCAAAACTCGAAGCTCTTGAAAATATCCTCTGTGATATAGAATCCTCTCTAGAGAAGGGCGTTGACATTAATGACCCAGGTATATTTTCATCCCTTCTTGAGGCCTGCTTCAGTTTACAAGCGTTTGATTTTGCCACCCGAATCCATCGCGTCATTCCTCACAAGCTGTTACGTAAGAACACTGGCATCTCATCGAAGCTTCTCAGGCTGTATGCGGAGGATGGTCGCGTGGAGGATGCCCACGAGCTGTTTGATAAAATGCGCGATAGACATTCTTCTGCATTTCCGTGGAATTCACTTATATCAGGTTATGCAGAGAGGGGTTTGTTCGAGGATGCATTGGCGCTTTACTTTCAGATGGTGGAAGAGGGTGTGGAACCAGACCTGCACACTTTTCCTCGTGTGCTTAAAGCTTGTGCAGGAATTGGGCTGATCCAGGTCGGGGAGGAGGTTCATCGTCATACCGTTCGTTCTGGGTTTGGGAAAGACAGGGTAATTCTTAATGCACTTGTTGTTATGTATGCCAAATGTGGTGATATCGTTAAGTCTAGAAACATGTTCAATCAAATTCCAGAAAAGGACTTGGTTTCGTGGAACTCTATGCTTATAGGTTATATTCGGCATGGCCTTATATTGGAGTCGCTGGATGTGTTTCGTACCATGATGCATGAAGGCTGCAAGCCCAACTCTATCTCTATATCAGCTATACTCAGCAGCTTAAAACTGCTCCGTGTAAGGTGTAGTTTTATTCACCCTATTTCATTTGTTCATTATTAAGTCAATGAGATCAAACCGGCCAGACCGAAAACATTCAGACAAGAGATTCAGATTATATATAAAAAAAAACATTTTGACTACACTAGAAAGAACCAGACCTTATCCAAAACATCCTGACTAAACAAAAGTAACAAAACTAGAAATATTCATATCATATCGAATACATTCAAAATTTCAAACTAAATCAGAAAGGTTCAGATTTGAGATCACAACAAACAAAAAGTTATATTTCCCACGTAGAATTTTTTTGAGAAAAACATTCAAACTAGACCAGACCAGAACCAAAATGATTCAGAAAAGACTAGACCGCATCATGAATAACATAGATCACATCACTTTTTCAGGAAAAGAGAGCAGGTCCTAAAACTGGGATCCCAAATTCATGGATGGGTTCTTCGTCATGAAACTGAATGGAATAATTTATCAGTTGCAAACTCAGTGCTTTCCTTTTATTCTTCTAATAGTGTCAACAGGCTCAAACAAACGAGATGGTTGTTTGACCAGATGCTTGAAAGGGATGTTGTGTCTTGGAATTCAATAATTTCAGCTCACTCCCAGGACCGTGAAGCCCTTGCTTACTTCCAAAGTATGGTAAACTCTGGTGCAATGCCGGACACTGTCACATTTGTATCATTATTGGCTGCATGTGCTCATGTGGGGCTGGTAGATGATGGTGAGCGAATATTCGTTCTGATGAAAGACCGGTACAAGATTAAACCAACAATGGAACACTATGCTTGTATGGTTAATCTATATGCTAGAGCACAGATGATAACCAAAGCGTATGACTTCATTCTGTTGAACAAAATAGAGGTAGAGGCTGGTCCAACCATTTGGGGAGCATTGCTCTATGGTTGCTCCCTTTCTGTCAATGCTGATATTGGAGAGGTTGCCGCTAAGCATCTATTTCATTTGGAGCCAGAGAACGAGCATAATTTTGAGCTCTTGTACAAGATCTATGTTAAAGCTGGTCGCAATGAGGATGCAGAAATAGTAAGAAAAATGATGTTAGAGAGAGGCTTTGCCTTGTGCTTTGATGACAAAAGTGTTGTGTAATTGGGATTATCACTTGCAAATTTCTGCGGTACCCAATTAAATTAGATGGGTTTTGGTACCCAAGTTCTGTAAGCCAATCGCATTACATTACAATCGTTCTGTACCTGTTATGAAAAATTTGTAAGTTTTTTGTTACTTTCGTATTTTTTTGTCTTACTCCTGTAATTTTTACCATCATTTGTAAGTTTTGTACGTAGTACCTGTTATGAAAAATTTAGAGGTTAGCACTTCGTTTAAAGATCTCTTTCTCCTTGCCTACATATATTTTTTGTCTTACTAGTTACGAAAAAAATTAAACTCTAAATTTGTTTATTTATTTTTACAACGAAACGCTTGACTTTATTACATTATACTTATTTGTAAAAAGTCATCATCATTTCATCATTTTCATTTACCCCAGTGCCGCAAAGGCTCCTACCTACAGTGGGGTAGGGGGGTCAGATGTACGCAGTCTTACCTCTGTACTAAAGCACAAAGAGAATGTTTCCGGATGACCCATAGTGAAAATCGCAACCAAAATTGCATGGACTGACTGCTACTTCATAACAAAGAAGCGCAGACAGTTTAGTGAGTCATTTTGCTTTATTCCATCATATTCTCAATTAAAAAAATAATGAATTTTTGGCTTCATTGCAAATGATAGAAAAAGTTGTTTTATGATTGTACATAGAAAACTATGTGGAGTGAATTTATTGATGGTGGTTTGATTATACGGAAAATTGAACTAATAGAATGAATGCACAATTTCCGTTTAAACTGAATGAAAATAGACATTGATGGAGCAAAATTATATTGCACATATATAGTCTAATAATAAACAGTATAAAAAAGAAATAATTGCACATTTATAAATTATTACTAAATTAAAGATTTCTTTAGTAGAACGTAATCTTTTAAGTGTAGTGACTATAGTGGTATTAGTGGTAATTTTAATTGTAGTAATTTATATTCAATTTTTACACTTAAGTAATCATGACACTGTACTGCAAGTCTACATGATTACATTCGTCTCATAATTTAAATTTGTAAGATACATGTGGGTTTGGCGTGAGTTTGAAGAAAATAAAAGATAAAATGATTGTTTACAATTCAAAAATTAAGAAAGAGTAAGATGGATCCACAAAACGTAAAATGTAGAATGATACGGAGTACATAAATAGATAAATAAGGAAAGTCAAAAGTCAATAGAGCTCAATTTCAGAAAATATTCATATTTTTTAGACAATTCAAAAAGAAAAGTGTATCTTTATAAAGAATAACCTTGAATAAAATTTCTATAAATACGTAGTAAGGGTTTCGTTGAAAAGTTGAACTCAAAATGAGGTGAAATGTGTAACAGATTAACGGGTTTCAAGACAAAGGGCAAAGTTGGGAGAAACAAATTAACGACCCCCTCTGTTTTGTCATTCGTGGCTGCTCTGCATGTTCCATGTAGTTGTTATTAGCTAATTGCACGCATATACAGAATCACAAACTAACAAACAAAACTAACTCCCCGCCCCTTTCTGCAGAGAAAATCCGCCAGCGCCATTGCCATTTCCATCCACTCCCGATTTGAGAAGAGGGAGCCAAAATCGCATGAAACTGGAAAATTTTCAAAGGATTTTTTCTTAGCACCTTCGACAGCAGCTTTCTGGTGTAATAGACAATGTAAAATCTATCGACGATCTTCTTGCTTGATCTGGATTTGGAAAGATGGTATGAGATTATTTCAAAAAAGCTCAAGCATTTCTTCTTCTTGTTTCCGTAGATTGTTTTGAGTAATATCCAAAGGATTTGCCCTAATCTCTTCCAAGTATATATTTTTTTGGAATTATTTTTCCGGAGCTCACCAAGTAACGGCTCCAACAAATTCCACCAACCCAATGCACTCCTCATTACATCCCTTCCCTCCCCCATGTCACGAAATAAATCAGGCCATGCAACCCTCCCCGGCCAAAAGATTCCCGCGGAATGTAAAGTTTATTTAAGAGATTATCTTTAGGAACATATATCCCATATGGGCATGATCATGGACGTGCGAATAACCAATTCAGAGAAGATAGACACGCGAGCGGGAACGAGGCAATAATTTATTTGTAGTGTGTGAACGGATGGAGCCATGGTAACATAAACAACCAAAAACTTTTTTGTAATTGCGCTACGAGATGATAGACCCTAGAGCTTAGATGATACCTACAGTAATAGCTAATTAGCTACGTAGTACTTGATTGAGTACTTCCATTGCATATTTTATGCCTGCTAAAGAAATTGTTTTATCTTGTTAATTTGTGTCGATTAAGTAACTCATTATTAATTATTGGCAAGTTTTATTTGCATAGCACATATTCAAATTGACTGCATGTGCATTAATTACTTTATACTCTGTATATGTATTCTCACACTGATCTACATTTTGTGTAGAGTGTTGTGTCCTCGATTGTGGTTGGATCTCATGTTTGGGTTGAAGATCCTGAGGTAGCTTGGATTGATGGGAATGTGTTGGAAGTCGATGGCGAGGACATTAAAGTAAACTGTACATCAGGGAAGACGGTAATCACTTGATCTACAGATTCTTTAAGTGTGTGTATATTAGTATGTGTGTGTGTGTGTATCTGGTTCAAATAGAAAACATCAATCCCATGAAAAATGAGAACGCATCTTAATCATTTATGTTAATGCAATTGATGGTTGAATGATATTATAATTATTAACGAGCTTTTAATTAATTAATCAACAGGCTACATAGCCTGCATTTTGATGTGATATAGTGATATAGTCTACCTTCATTTAGTGTCCCCACAATTGTATGGTCCTTTTGATTTTCAAAATCAATGCACCTGATAAATTTTCACTTTTCATATAAGGTCTTCTTATTCGAACCCAAACTATATAGAGCATTAAAGCGTCTAAATAATTGCATTTTTTCATAGAAATAAGTTTATTTATGTTATTATACTCCTCCAATATTGTTTTCCTGTACCCTTTTGATGCATTCTTGTTGCTTGAGAAGTTAAGTCATAATGCCTCAAGATTGCCATACGTCCTTACCTAATATGTCCCAAATGGAACTTTGGACTGTAGGTTATAGCCAAGGCATCTAATGTCTACCCAAAAGACACTGAAGCTCCTTCTGGTGGTGTGGATGATATGACAAAGCTTGCCTATCTGCATGAACCAGGAGTTTTGGAGAACTTAAAATGCAGATATGCCTTCAATGAAATTTATGTAAGCACTCTCCCTTGCTCAAGGAATTACTTTCATGTATTCATAATTATCATATCTGTATTTAAACTTAAATAACCAATTGTTCCCTCAGACTTACACAGGTAACATATTGATCGCTGTGAACCCTTTTAAAAGGCTGCCTAATCTATATGGAAAAGATGTGATGGAACAGTATAAAGGAGCTGTGTTTGGAGAACTTAGCCCCCATCCCTTTGCTATTGCAGATGCTGCTTACAGGCAAGCTGTCAACATTTTGCGGGCTGGTTAACCATCAATTTCTTTAGGGAATTTCCCAAAATAGGAGTAATAACAAGGTGGTTTTCCTAAATAGGAAGCAGTATTTATTTTCTCTAAATAGGAGTAAACTACAACTCTATTATGGCATTATCAGGCTTTAACATGGCAGTATTAATGCTATAATATAGAATTGACATAATTACTACTATTTTGGGCAAAAAACTTAGTACCCCGATTTAGGGAAATCACCTTGTTTTTATTTCTCTAGGGTAAATTCTAATTTCTCTACCCATTTCCTAATTACTTTTTATTTTATTTACTCTTTCTCAATGCAGGCAGATGGTGAATGATGGGATAAGCCAGTCAATTTTGGTTAGTGGAGAAAGCGGAGCTGGCAAGACCGAAAGCACAAAAATGCTTATGCAGTACCTTGCTTATATGGGAGGTAGAGCTGCTTCTGCTGAGGGGAGGTCTGTCGAACAGAAAGTCCTTGAGGTGTATTTCTTATACAATTATTTGTTCTTTTTTATTCTGTTGAAATTGCAGGCTGCTAAAATAAACATATGTGGATACGTATTTGGCAGTCAAATCCCGTTCTTGAAGCATTTGGAAATGCAAAAACAGTGAGAAACAACAATTCAAGGTTGGTGAAATTTTCACTTTGGATGATGGTCTTGCTATTTACAATTTAAGTACAGATATTCCCTTATGAGGTTGTTCCTAAAACATTACTAATAAAAAATTATGGATGTAATTGTGAGTAAAGTTACTATGAATATACTTTTACAGTCACTATGATGTATAATTTGAATATAATTAGTCCTAAAAGTTATTAAGTCACAATTTTGTCCACTATCCTTATTTTGGTCATATATTGGGAATTATTCCTTTCTTTTTTGCTACTACTCTTTTGAATTCCCAACCCCTTCAAAATTATGAAGTATATATATGGCTTCAAAATTTTAAAACTTTCACTGATCATTTATAAATGGAGCGAAGTATGATTATTAGCATTACTATCATCATATTTAACTGATTAGAGTTTGCTGACCAACATTTACTGGTGGCAGTCGCTTCGGTAAATTCGTTGAGATTCAATTTGACAAAAGGGGAAGAATTTCTGGTGCTGCTATCAGAACATATCTGCTGGAAAGATCTCGTGTTTGTCAAGTGTCCGATCCTGAAAGAAATTACCACTGCTTCTACATGCTTTGTGCTGCACCACCTGAGGTAATTTACGTCAAACTTTGAGTAGGGCACTTAGCTTAGCTTAGTTCAGTACTACATTGGAGGGACAAGTATTGTCTTTATCTAGATTCCACGTTCTTACATTTTTTTTGTAAATTGAGTAGGGCACTTAGCTTAGCTTAGTTCAGTACTACACAAGCAATGGATGCTTTTCTTTATTTTGCTGTGGCAAATTTAATTTTTCTGCCATTGCAACTTAATTTTATTTTATATTCAACCAATAAGAGACAAACTCTTCAACCATTGCAAGATGTGTTTAGCGTAACATATGACTATTTAGTATGAACAAAATTTCCCCATAAGCAATCTTAAGCTGTTAGGACTTTTTCTTGCGGCTTATGACGATTGGTTAATGGCCTGACCAGTTGATCCAGATATGTTCTTCCAAAGGGGTTCTAATCCCCCTACTCTTGTCCAAATGTACAAAGGACTCTTATGATAGAGGGTGTATGGAGCTCATAATATCCTACAAGAAAGACATCTCTCACTCTCAACACTAAATCAGTGTGGCTTGACAACAACTTGATCTCATATCCTTAAAAGCTAAATATGATCACTGATGAGAATGTTATCCATTTAGTTAGCAGGAATTGAAGTAATCTTATTGCTTTTATCCATGTTGGCTATTCTTTACATTGAAACTGCTCATTTGATGTTTCTCACATTTTTTAGTAATTCATCTTAGGATGTTGAAAAATACAAAATGGAAAACCCTAGGAAATTTCACTATCTGAACCAATCCAACTGCTACGAATTGGATGGATTGGATGAATCTAAAGAATACCTTGCTACTAGGAGGGCTATGGATGTTGTAGGAATCAGTCCTGAAGAGCAGGTATTGGCATCTGAATACAATTCACTCTAAATGGATTATATTGTGAATCTTTGGTGACAATACCCAAATGCAGGATGCAATTTTTAGAGTAGTGGCTGCAATACTTCACTTGGGTAACATTGAGTTTGAAAAGGGAAATGACCCTGATTCTTCAGAACCCAAGGATGATCAATCTCGTTACCATCTTAAGGTTGTAGCTGAACTTTTCATGTGAGGTTTCTTCTATCTCTGATCCTTCAAATATGTAGTTTCTCTCCCCCAAACCTTTCCAAAGTTACAAGAACAATTTCATCATTTTGAAGTTTCATTTAGGTGTGATGAGAAGTCAATCGAGAACTCCTTGTGCAAACGCATCATGGTAACTCGTGATGAGACTATAACAAAGTCCCTTGATGCACAAGCTGCTGCGATCAGTAGGGATGCTCTGGCAAAAACGGTCTATTCTAGACTATTTGATTGGTTAGTAGATAAATAAATGGTGGACTGATGCAGTAGAATTTCAGGAGTATCAAACATTGTACTTAAAGTTTTTTTTCTTTCTTTATCAGGCTTGTGGACACGATAAACAATTCCATTGGTCAAGATCTTGATTCCAACCATTTAATTGGAATTCTGGATATTTATGGATTTGAGAGTTTCAAGACAAACAGGTGCTTAACTGGTACGCTTTTATTTTTTATCATTCACAGAGAGGTTCAATTCTTGCAGAATGCTGCATGAAAACTCTGTTCTTGTTCTGTGTACACAGAGATATGGAACTCCCCCTTTTTCTAAATATAAACTCCCCTTTTTTGTTTTGTCTCCCTATTTATGTAAGGTCATTTTTCTTGTGTAATGGTAATTGTTTATTCTAATCTGTATTTTGATACCTTTGAGGATTTTTTGTTGTCGATAATACTAACTTCTCACTTGCAGTTTTGAGCAATTCTGTATCAACTTGACAAATGAAAAACTGCAACAACATTTCAACCAGGTCTGTATCTAAAATACTTTAAATAGCCTCGGTTGACCACATGACGCAGTAAACTGTGTGTAAGCTAAAATTCTAACCTAAGTCACATTCTTCACCTCCTTTGGCAGCATGTCTTCAAGATGGAGCAAGAAGAGTATACAAAGGAAGAAATTGATTGGAGTTACATAGAGTTTGTTGATAACCAGGATATTCTTGATCTCATAGAAAAGGTTAGCATATAGATCAATGGCTATTAACCTGTTTATTATTGTGACCACACAAATATGTTGGTTTATTTTCTTTTGAACATCCGTAGTAAGGTTTTTAGATTCTTCATGATCTCTTATGCTAGAGTGCTTTGCTTGTACTTAGTTACTCAGGGTCCATTGGTCAAGGTAGAATTTAGCTAAAAATGGTTGAATGAGTGGAGTATGAGATTGGCCAAATATTCAAAGGAAATAAAATATTATAGGCAAGGGTAAAAGCATCTTTTCCTTTCATCCCAGTCACTGTTCCAGGAAAATGTAAAATTTGGACTGTTTCTAGTAAGTTATCAGCAAGTTCAACGAAAACTGCCAAATTATTTAGTATAGCGATTTTGGATGATAAACTAAGGCTATGAAACAACCCAAGTTCTTCATACTTTTGCTATTTGCATAACCTGTTATACAACAGCGATTGGCTTCCACTTATTGCTCTATCATTTTATATACATACTGAGACTAATGTGCTTCATACACTTAAATTTCTTCAGAAGCCCGGGGGAATCATTGCTCTTCTGGATGAGGCCTGGTAATAATGATTAGGTTATTAAATTCTTTTCAATCAATATTGATTGAAAAGATACGTACTGTTTTATATACGTACTGTTTGTAATTTCATGTTTTGAATAGACTACTAATTATGGATTGAAATTCCAAAATGCCTTCGTGCCTTATAACAGCATGTTCCCGAGGTCAACACATGAGACCTTTTCTGAAAAGCTCTACCAGACCTTCAAAGATCACAAGCGTTTCAGCAAGCCAAAATTATCACGGACTGACTTCACTGTTTGCCATTATGCTGGCGATGTATATATTTCTACACTTACAGCATTCTCATAGATTGAAGTCTTTCTTAATATGTTCTTTAAGCAAAATTTTATGTTCAGGTGACGTACCAAACTGATTTATTTTTGGATAAGAACAAAGATTATGTTATTCCGGAGCATCAGGAACTCCTCAGTGCTTCAAGGTGTTCCTTTATCTCAGGCTTGTTCCCACCCTTAGCTGAAGACACTTCTAAATCATCCAAGTTCTCCTCTATTGGTACCAGATTTAAGGTACTGCTTAACCTCTCTCGCGTGATCCAGAATTGCATTTCCATTATATTCCAATGGATGATTGTCCTCACATGTATTTTATTAGTTCGCTACATACTTCAATATGGCTAGTTAAATACATATGATGACAATCTAACATTTAAGTACCAAATGAAGTACAGTATTTGGAATAAGAGGTTTAATCCATAGGTTTCTAGTCAAATTTGTATTTACGATTAAGGCGATCTCTGAAAAAAAAAATTGGAAACCAATGTTTTCTAGTTTGGTATCTTGTAAATAACACCGGGACCGGTACTCCTGTATATATGATGTAGCAACAATTGCAAGCATTGCTTGAGACACTCAGTGCCACAGAGCCTCACTACATTCGTTGTGTTAAGCCAAATAATCTTCTAAAGCCAGAGATATTTGAGAATCAAAATGTACTTCAGCAGCTTCGATGTGGGGTAATCTTTCATCATTTCTGATAACAGAAAACACTGATCATATTTTCAAGCTTCATTAATGGAATGGTGTATTTTTGCAGGGAGTTATGGAGGCAATTAGGATAAGCTGCGCTGGGTTCCCTACTCGGAAACCGTTTGATGAATTTGTTATTCGTTTTCGTATCCTTGTTCCTGAGATTCCGAGTGATAGGTACTTCCCTTTTATAAGTTTTTTAATACGTAGCTGCTGTGTCTGACCTTTCTGTCTTTTGTTAATAGAACTTTTTACTTTCCTTTTGTACATTTTTACTTCCCATCACCCCTCACACAATTCTTTTAATTGATAGTTACGATGAGATTGCAGTTTGCAAAAGAATTTTAGAGAAGGCTGGTCTAAAAGGTTATCAGGTACGATACTATTTGTCTTTACTTATGTGGCCTCGACATATGGAAAGAAATGGAATGCCTATCATTAACGAATCAAATCAGAAGGAAAGTGTACCTCTCCTCCATAATTATGTTAATAAAGCACTCTTCGTGAAGTTATTTAACACATTCCCTAATCCAAAAGTAAGGGGAGGGGGTTTGAGAATGATAAAAAAAAGTAACAAATAATTGGTTCTTTCTAACCTTATGTTAACTGTTAAGGGCCATTTATTACTTTATTATAATTCTAACATGCCCCTCACTTTCGGATTTAGGAGTATGTACCGAACACAAGAACAGTTGTCCTTAAATGAAAGACACGTATGAATAGTGGGAACATGAATCCAAATTAGGGCCTGAACCTTCTGGATCACATATTAACATTGACCTACATGCTTCTCTGTAATAAAAAATGCAAGCTGTTAAAGCATTTTACTATTCTGATCCACAGTTAAAGCATGTACTGTATGTTGAAAAATGATCTTGCTGCATGGCAGAATCAGCTGTCATGGGAATTTTAATTGGCAAGTGCCATTGGTGCAGTTAATAATGCTTGAAATACATCTAGTGCCTTCTCGTTGTGAATTCTATTGTTTTTTAACTATTAGCCACATATCTTGCAACATAAAGAATGATGGTTGAAGTTAGGCAATCTAAGAAGAAGCTGATCATCATATTTTTCAAATACAATGAGATGCTTTTACTAGTTTTATTTGTATAACTATTCGTAAAGTATCTTATTCTGGACTATGAAAAGTATCATATTATGAATAGAAAACCATTATTTAATTCTGAAAGATCCAGGAGCAGTTATAGATGCACGGGGATGTATTATAATGTGCTAACTATGGTCCACTGCAGATTGGCAAGACAAAGGTGTTTCTTAGAGCTGGTCAGATGGCAGAATTAGATGCTCACAGAAATGAGGTCCTTGGAAGGTCTGCATGCACTATCCAGAAAAATGTCCGCAGATATTATACCCGCAAAAGTTTTATCCTGCTGCAGGGTTCAGCCATACAAATCCAAGCTGTATGCAGAGGTCACTCTAGCACACTGTATCTTGGTTCTTAGATGCAATAAATATGTTTGGAATTTGTTTTGACCTAATTAAGGGAAGTGAAAACAGGTCAACTTGCTCGCATCCTCTATGACCGCAAGAGGAAGGAAGCAGCTTCTCTGATGATCCAGAAGTATGCACGAATGCACCTTTCAAGGAAATCTTATAGGTTGCTGTGGGATTCAGCCATTTTAATACAGACAGGGTTGCGCCAAAGGGCCGCTCATAATGAGTTCAAATATAGAAAAGAAACAAAAGCTGCCATTTTAATTCAGGTACCAATATTCATCAAATTGAAAATTTAAAAATTGGGTAGTACCAGATTACAGATTACATGCTGCGCAGGTAAAACACATTATATGCTGTTTATCCAATGTGCTGGACTTAGATGGTACTTGTGGAGTACTTGAAGTTTGATTTGACTATATATTTTACTAATAATCTGATATAATTATACTTATAGTTCTCTTTTGATCCTACAAAAACCTAATGAAGTGATATCAGAGCAGCCAAGATTTAGACAAGAAAGTTTAATAGATGGATACATGAAGAAAGTAGTTGTGAAAGGTTCCTTTCATGTTATCCCTAAGCATTCCATAGATCTTTCCTACATAGGCAGTGATGCGTTACCAAAAGGAAAAACACAAATGGTTTATGCCAATTTTATCTCTTTTTATCCTACTGAAACTCATCTGTTGATCTAGGCCTGAACTCGGGTACCCCTCTCCAAATATCCACATAACCACTTAACCTGATATTTTGAGTTTTGACCTGCCTGACGTGCAGCCCTAATATTTTCCCAATTGAAACATCTAATAATCTAATTTAAGTACCTCAAAAGAAGGTTAAATTCTTGGACTGCCTATACAATTTGTTCATGTTTTTCTTAATGTTTTATACCTCCTAGTATCAATACTTGTATAAAAGAAAACATACGGATTGTTGCAATGTTTGAGTTATAACACTCTAAAAAACTCACGCGGGTCGATGTATTTGAAACTGAATTTAATTATATTGTTCTAACTTTGATTCCAGAGACATTGCCGTGGACACTTGGCACACCTTTATTATAGGAGGGTTGAAAAAGCTGCAATTTCCACACAATGTGCATGCAGGGTAACACTTGCCAAAAGAGAACTACTCATGCTTAAAATGGTGAGAAATAGTTTTGCTAGTTAACTTCAGTTTCCCTTTAAGCACCTTTCCTCGCTGGTTTCTCTTTATGACCAATTGATGCTATTTCTCTTTTGAGGATTGCATGCAGTCTTGGTCTACAATCATCTGCCTGTTGACTTTGGACCGGATATTGTTCTAGGTTACTTTTTAGAAATAGTATTTTGAGGGTCAATCAATTTCACTGCTATGTCTGCTTGGTTCGTTTTGCCAGAGTGATCTTAGTCAAGGAAGTCCCGGCTTGTCTTTCATCTCTTAAATATTTGAGCCTATCTATACCATCTTTTCACTAACATTATAAGTCCAGCCGTTGTCATAAATTATTCAAACTTGTCTTTTACTCTAGTTAATGAACTGATGAATCTGCAAAGAAATGACTAAGCCTAAAGAAAAAAACAATATTTTGATCCAACACAACTTCAATTGCTTTGAAAAGGCCTCATAATTGGATGAAATATGAACCAACATCAACTTGTTTTAACTTTATGCCTTGCTGGAATTCGTTAATGATTGTTATAGGACATGCGTTCATTCTTTTGATTTTCCTCGTCTGTTCAGGCTGCAAAAGAAGCAGATGCTCTGCAAAAGCAAGTTGAAGAGCTAACTGAGCAATTACAATTGGAGAAGCAAATGAGGGTATAAATGTTTTCTTGGTTGTTTGAAATGTTGCAAGCCTTCTACCTGAGCTACTTCATGTTTTTCTGAAATCACATTATGACCATTTTGCACAAAGCCAGTCTTTATTATTCAAATACCTCTTCCCCATTATCGTTTCCTGAAATGGTGCAAATTATAACAATTTTCTAGCATGTGTTATAGCTACATATGTGCTTTGGTTTTATAGACTAGAGACTTTAGAGAGAAAATTGAACTTCACTTAAATTTCAATTAAAGATCTTGAGTAAGCAGAAACTATTTTTCTGTTAGATATGCTACTCAATGAAATGTTTAAAACATTAGTGCTGCTAAGAAATCTCTAAATTTGGCTTTCTGATTATACATTTATTATTGTAGTCATCGAAATTATCTTGAAGGAAAAAAGTTGAAACTATTAGGTTTCAGTTTATCATTATAAAGTTGGATACCTTTTGCTGTAGGCTGAAATGGAGGAATCCAAAAGCCAGGAAATTTCCGAACTGCAGTCTGCATTAGAAGAAATGAAGATTCAGTTAGAAGAATCCAAAAGGTTGATCAATCAGGTAGAAAATATTGAAAATGTTGCTGGTAATGACCAGGACAAAACCTTGGAAAATGCAAAAATACAGTTACCAGGAAAGACAGCTGAACAAGCGCCTTTTCCAAAAGTGGTCAAGGTTGATGATCATGATGATCAAGAAATGATCAATAAACTTATTGCTGAAAATGTGAAGCTTAAGGTGATGTGAGTTCTTGTATGTTTTGATCTCTTTGAAGAGATGTCTTGTTCAGATCCTTAATATATGCATACCAGTCACTGCTGCTATAACATGTTCATTCTTATGTTTGCAGGCTTTAGTTACTTCACTAGAGAAGGAAGTTGATGAGACAAACAAACTTAGTGAAGAGAGGTTGAAGCAGGTTATGGAGGCAGAATCCAAAGTAATTGATTTAAAGACCAACATGCAGAGGTTGTTACAACAACTTTGCTATGCAATAAATATGTACAGATCAACCTAAATTAAGTGAAAAACAACTCCACTCAAATATTTTCATCCTTTCTTTTTTGTTTGTAAGAAATTGATTTTTGTTTTGAATATTGGATCGTATAGCCCGTTGTTTTTGTGAATCTTGTCATATTTACTTCTCTTTCATTATTTGGCTTTGCATCTTATGCCAGGATTAATGAGAAACTTTTGGATATGGAAACTGAAGTCCAGATACTCCGACAAGAAGCATTGTTGAATCCGGAGTCCAGAAGAACGTCAGAACATCTTACAGTAGTCCATGAGGTGATGATGCTGCAGAAATTTTATTATTTGTTTCTTTGCAAGATGTTTCTCACTAATCTTTTATTTTCTGTTGCAGCTTTCAGCAAATGGTGACCGAGTAAGTGAAAAATAAAAACATGCAGCTTCCCTACTACTTTCTTTTTATCATGATTGGTGGAAGCTTTATCTTGTATGACTAGTGTTCGAAGATAATCTGTATAGGAATCTGAAATGGTATCACCTAGTGAATCTGATAAAGAGCTGAGCAGATCCCAAAACGAGAGGCAGCGGGTCAGTTGGTTATTATAACATGAATTATATCTATTTATGATTTATCTGATATCCAAGGAATCTCTCTGAACTGGTGGTAAAAGTAATAGTAAGGAAAACATAAAAAACAAAACTAATCGTTAATTTATTGAAACATTTCTGAATAATAACCTCAAATATGAACTTTTAACTAGAAATTCTACTTGCTACAAATATTTTATGACATATAGTGAATGCATAGCTTTCTAAAAATAGCCTTTTTGTTTTCAAGGCTTAAACTCAGCTGAAATTTTCATCGGAACTTGTACATTCAGTAGTTTTGAGCTTGCACAAAGAACTATCTAGTTTGTTTTCCACTTTTCCATCAACTCCGAATGGAGAAGTCTTTTAATGATTACTCATAGACAAAGGGATAAGAACACCAATGATACCATGAACCCACATACCACACTTGGTGTGTGCTCTTAAGAAAATGTCTGTCACAGATGAGGATTGTCACAGTAATGTTTATAACATCTGTCATTAGAACTCATTAATGGAACTAAATGTGCACCAATTATAGGATGCTAGGGATCAGTGTATACCAACTGGAAATGGAATAATATATTATCATATGGAAAATGATTATCATATTACCAATAAGTAACTTCACAAATGAGAAAAATGATGCTTTGAGCGCTTCATCTTTTTTGTAGATGAACAGTGCATAGACCTATGGACTTATTTCATGTTCTATACCACTTTCGCAGGAGAATGTTGATATTATTATTAGATGTACATCTGGATATCTTGGCTTCAGTGAAGGAAAACCAGTTGCAGCGTTTACAATATACAAATGCCTTCTTCATTGGAAATCCTTTGAAGCAGAGAAAACTAATGTATTTGACCGCCTTATCCAGATGATTGGTGCTGCTATAGAGGTGATTGACCATATCTTAGACGCATCATGGAGGCTTACAACTAATAATTTTAAGTGTTTCCTGTCTTAGAATTCTCAGTTAGTTTAACTGTTTAAGTCCTAAAGAGTATTATCCTTGGGAAGTAAGAAGTTCGTGAAGAGCCACGGCACTGGGCCGGTACAAAGAATATTTTTTCAAAACATTTTACATGGATTTTTTACACTAAAAATATAGACATTTTTTATGTTTGGGGTGGGTCGGGGCCTAGCCCCCCCCCCCCCCCCCCGCTACGCCCATGAGTTCGTGGACGTTCTTACGTCTTAACAAGAAGCCACCTCCAAAAAAATGCAGTTAAAACATATATATGCTTTTTAATAAACGTTTTTTCCTAACATCATTGACAGGATGAGTCAGACAATGATCACATAGCATATTGGCTGTCAAACACATCTATGCTGTTGTTTCTGCTTCAACAGACACTAAAGGCTACTGCTTCGACTCCTCTTCAACCTTCCCAACCAACATCCTTTTTTGGAAGGGTGTTTAGGTCATCTTTCACTTCATCCAGCCTTTCAATTCGAGGGCTTGATAGCATCCGGCTGGTTGAAGCAAAGTATCCTGCTTTGCTATTCAAGCAACAGCTCACTGCCTATGTAGAGAAGATCTATGGAATCCTTAGAGATAACATGAAAAGGGACCTTTCACAACTACTTTCTACATGTATCCAGGTATTACATGTTCTTGTCTAATTCTTGGCTGATCTGATATCACTATATTGGGAACAAAAGAGAACTATTGTGGAGTTCTTGCTAATTGAAGAGGTAGTTTTAGGCTAATGCAATAGTTATAATCAACAAAATTATATCATATTATTAATAAAATGTATGGTCAATCAAACTTCAAGTACTCTACAAAAGGACCACGCTTTTCAACACTCTTTCTTCTAGTACTGCAGTTCTGCTAACTCCTATACTTTTAAATCTGTCAAACCCTGACCAAGTTGACCAGTTAGATACTTAGACCTTTGGTTAGAATATCAGGCTACCGTTTATCAGTTTTGTAATGCTCGATAGTGGCTTCCCTGTCCTTCTGGAATTCTCAAGCACGACATTTATCTTGATTCTCGAAATGCTTGGTTCTGTATAAATAAAGTAAAACATAATAACTCATAAATTAATTTAGGTATGCAAGACTAGAATTGATTAAACAAGAGTCCTGTATTAATTTTATAAATTAGAGTAGTAAAGTACTAAAGTGATAAATTAATTTAGGTATCTAAGACTTACATAGGTAGAACATAGAGTCCTATATTAGTAGAGAAAAAGAGTATAGTCACAAATTATAGTAATAAACAAATAATATACTCCACAATAAATAAAACCTACAAGCATTATATTAATGAAAAAAGCATTACACTAGAAAGTCACGAAAATACAAAGAGGCAAGTACTTGCCAGTTGCCATGATGTTTATATTAAGAGTTTATTTACTAGCTCTAGCTCTTTCAGAACCCAAACTGCATTACATTCACTCTTAACTCTTTGAGAATCAAAAGTGCTATAATAATCATCGGTTCTGCTATACCGTTTTATTGAGACTTATTTTGGCAATAGAAAGCTTTCTTGAAAAAGTACTTGGTGTAACCGATCACACGCTGGCCAAATATAATATTAGGCTATTCCTCCTATCATAATGAGCTTTTAGGATGAAGCCCCAAATCTGATGTTGTCTTTGTGCAACTTTTCTCAAATATCTGTCATATTTCTACTCATCATATTTAGGTTCCTCAAACAAATGGAAACTCGCCAACCACTCCATGGCAAAGCATCACTGGGAGTCTTAATGGGCTTCTTAAAGCACTGAAAGGAAATTATGTATGTACATCCAACTCAAACATTGTCTGTTCCATTGATGCATATATTTACAAATATTTAATGCTAGTGTTATGTTGTACATATGTATCAGGTGTTTCCCTTTCTAATCCAGAATATTTTTGCGCAAGTTTTTTCACACATGGATGTACAATTATTTAACAGGTAATTTCCCTATCTTCACTTTTCATTCTATATTGGAATAGTCATATCAATAAAGTCAACAGTTCTCCTAACATAAATTATTGATGTATTGCCACAGCCTCCTTAGCAAAGATGACTGCATTAACTTAAAAAATGGGGAATATATCAAAAGCGGGTTGGATGAATTAGAAAGTTGGTGTGAACAGGCAACTAAAGAGGTACTCTATTTGACTATATCAGGATACCTTAGCACAAATGTCATGTCTTTACAGCATAAAATTCATTGGTGAAGTCGGCTCCACAAAATTCAAAAATTGGGTTGGCTGGAAAAAGGATTCATTCTTATAAACAATTTTATATATAAAAAGAGGATTTTACCGACCTTTGGATGGGGCGCGTGAATATGCTTTGCCACACATAGCTAAACTTAGCCAATGTTTGCATTGTACCAGTATCTTAATTTGCAAAACAGTAATGACACATACTTTGTTGCAGTATGTCGGTTCCTCTTGGGATGAATTGAAGCATGTAAGGCAAGCTGTAGGATTCTTGGTATGCATATTTTTACTTTTCATAAAAAAAAGTAGTTTCTGCCATGAGATGGCTTTCTAATTTCTGTTGGTCGGTCATAAACTGATTTATAATTTTTATGGCAGGTTCTGCAGGACAAAGCGAAAGTTTCCTACAATGACCTGACAACTGACTTGTGCCCAGTAAGATCTTCTATAAGTTCTGAACTTTTTGTATTTCTTTTTCATTGTTTGGGGGTTGGGGACCTCATCTATCATGAATTTGTGCTGAACAACTGATTCCATTTGTGGCAAGTTAGAATTTACATGCCTGCCAGAGTCAGGTCCTATGTGTGTAGGCCATGTTAGATGTTGATGTCATTTGCTTCATATGAGTGTTAATTTTCTCCACATAAAGTAGTGGTCTAATTTCTCCACATAAATGATGACACTGATTTAGGGGGTATTATTGACACTGTTTTAAAAAGAAAGCTTGAGCATTATCTACTAGTGTAGTTTATCAGTGGGTGTAGAACATAATATAGTTCCATGCACAACCTTGAGCATTGACAGTTCATTTGCATCGACATCTCATGTTTGCAGATTCTGAGTAGCCATCAGCTGTATAGAATATGTGCGCATTGCTCGGATGAGAACAATACTGAAACTGTGTCCCCAGATGTGAGTTAATTTCCCCCCTTTTGTTTTTTGTGTTTAATTATATACAAAATAAGTGACAAACATGTGATATAAAACTTGTAATGGAATCCAAAATCTTGACGACTGAACATGACATGATCTGGGGGGGGGGGATAAAATAGGCATTAGAGCATTGAGGGCTTCATGAGCAGCACATGTTGTATCAGTTGTATGAAGTGAATGGGTGGAAAATGAATATATTGGCAGATATTACATATTGGTTGTTAACTTGTTACCATATCATCACTCAAGTGCCTTGTTGCATTGTGTAGGTAATTTCCAACATCAAGGTACTATTAGCATCAGAAGGTTCAGAAGACACCAGCAGTAAATCTTATTTGTTGGATGAAAATTTGAGGTATTATATTAAATGAAAAAAGTATTCCACGATAAATGAGTCTACTTTTACTCTTATTATTACTTTGCCATTAAGCCATTTTGTTCACATGCAGCATCCCCTTCTCAGCTGATGGCCTTAAGATTTCCCTCAAGGATATTGATTTTATTGGGGTAAAACCTGCTGAAGAACTGCTTGAGAATCCTTCCTTTGAATTTCTACGTGAATAATTACAGTAGCACTTTTCTTCATAAATATTATCAAAACACCAGCCAAAGGTTTTCCATATATGCATATGCATAATTGTATATAAACAGCCCCCCTGTGGTTTTTATTTCATATGTAAAGTTGTAGGTCTAGTGGGATATTTACATTTTTTACATACAGACACACACACAATACCATGGACAGCCTTAAGTGCTTGTTCAACACTGTACAAATATAAACAAACTTATCTCCGCAGTAAAGGATGTGAATAGAAACTTCTTGTCCTTCTTAGCAATAACAAAGCAACAAGAAACCCAAAGAAAGTAACAGAAGCCAATATAATATACGACAGCATGAAACAACTAGCCCCGTAGCATGAATGTCCTGTTCCAGAAGCCTCTTTATCATACACATACCCGATCACTCTAACGGAGAGTAAGTATGATCCAATGGGACTGGCTATAGCAATTGTATTGAATAATGTCCCCATATGCAGAACGCCAAATATCTCCTTGGTTATGGTGGGCATCAATGACCACTGTGAGCCATAACAAATCCCAACTAGTAGGGACCCCACATATAAATTTCCTGGGAAGCCAGATGCAATGATGACATGGCCAGCTGACATGGCTGCCAGGGTGAGCACAATGAACAACGGCCTCGGCCAACCTTTTCTGAGCAATAAAATGTCTGATACATATCCTGCCCCAAGACGGCCTAAAAAGTTCCAAATACTCCAGAGAGAAACTAAGGTGCTTCTCTGTGATGTCGTGTAACCGAGTGATTCCCCTATCTGGCTGACGTTATTTATTGTGGCGAGTCCTGACCCCATCCCACATGCCATAGCAACAAACAACAGCCAAAAATTGAGGGTGGAAATGGCTTTTAATAGATTCATTTCTTCCACTCCACATGGAATAATAGAGTCACGGCCCTTAAAGTTGTCTCCTTGTTCAGCAATGGAGTCGTTTAACAACGGCATTGTTGCATTCGTGGGGCTGAATAAGCTTGCTTGTTGGGCTTTGATTGCACTACCCAAAGGTAAGAAGAGTAGAAAGACTAGCACTACGAATGCAATGATTTGTGCCCGTTGCGAAAACAGAAAGCTGTCCTCCATGACTCTTAGCAACAACAGATATGTTGCAATAAGCAAAGAGACAATCAAGAAACTGTTCAAATGTTTCTCATCAGTCCAAGGGGGAGACTTTTGGTGGACTTTGACTAAGCACATGAGCACAAGGCTGGTTAGGGTTGGCAATAATGCAAGCATCAATATCAATGCACTTGGGTTATTGTTGAATAACGTTTGGTACACTTGTATCAGTATTGCTCCACTCAATCCCAGAAATCCCTTCATGATTCCTACGACTGTGCCACCATAACCGGGGAAATTCCGAACTGCTGTGACAACATTTGCCGTATTGAAAAACGTCTGGGAATGAGCGGCGATAAACATGAAGAGGCACATAACCGCCACCGGCGGCGGCCGCGGAATGACCCCGACGACGGCGAGCCAGATGAAGAAGTACCCAACGAAACACTGGACAGATCCGGCGAGGTGGACCAGCCATGGGCCTCTGCGAGGAGAGCTGGAATTGGAGACTGCGGAGTAGAGAAGCCCGGAGAGGATGCCGGCGTTGGCGCCGATGTCCTTGAAGACGGAAACAGTGTCGAGGGTGGATTGGTCATAGGCCTGGGAGGATTTGAGAAGTGGGGAGTAGATACCAAAGGCGTAGGATCCGCCGCAGCTGGCCTGGATCCAGACGCTCGCCGCTGTCGCTATCCATTTACTCCGGCTCCAGCCTAGCCTCTCCATCACGTGAAGCGTTAGTCTAGTAGGATATACTACGTCTACTATACGGAGTAAATTTGGGTGATCTTAAAGAGGCATTTTCTGCTCAAAAGAAAATAAAATAAAGAGGCATTTTGGTGAAATTAAATCTTCTGTACTGTACTCCATCTGTTCTCTAATACTTGTCTCTCTTTTCATTTTGGGTTGTTTTCCAATATTTGTCTCTCTTTTCATTTTTGGAAAGTTTATTCAATAAATATACTCATTTACACTCATTCTCTTTCCTACTTTTTCATTTAAACACAACTACTACACCTTTTACACTACCCCTATTACTTTTCTCTTAAAACTTGTGTCAAACCCTATAGGGACAACTAATGGAGAACGGAGGAAGTATTTAATGTCATATTTAGTGGCTCAAAATCAAAATAAATTAACAATGGATTAGATTTGATGAAAAACGATGTAGTTTTATAAATAAACGAAATTTTTTGTTACCGGGAAAAAGTGCAATAGAAACATACTCCTTTAGTCCCGTTGAAAATTTCTCATTTTCTTTATTTAGATGTCTCATTTAAAGTGAAAATAATTACCTTCTTTAATGGGGGATTTACCTAGATAGGAGTAAATAAGTTCTTCATTACCAAAATAGGACTAGTATTTAAAAATTCCCTAAATAAGAATTATTATTTGCAATTGGACAGAAATAGCCCTCAACTTAGGAAAACATACTACTGGTGCAGAATGTCCGAACGACGTCGGTCGTCCATCACCGCCGGTCGCCGGCCGCCGGCACCGCCTCAAAACTGACCGTCATGTAGATCTGCCCGCTGCCACTTCATATTTGGTCGTCGCAGCTGCAAATATGTCCGTCGACGCCGAACGCCGTTGTTGACCGCCGCCCCATCAGATCTGGCCACCACCTCAGCAGATCCGACCGCCGCCTCAGCAAATCTGGCCGCCCCCCTGCGGATCCGGCCTCTGCCGCTGAAAACTGACCTCCACCAGTGCAGATCTGTCCATTGTCTACGCCAATGCCAGATTTTTTTTATCAAAATGTCAAACAAAAATCGAGAATGCCATTTTAATGGCATTTTCAAAGCAAAATATGACATTTTTGAAGAGTAATATTGCCAAATTGATGGCATTTTTGAAACAAAATTTGACCTCTTTTGAAACTAAAAGAAACGAGGTCTGCTACAAAATTGAAGAGGAGGAGAAAACCAGAAAATCAAGTAAGAAGAAGATGACAGAAGATGAGGGGCCGGAGAACAACGAGGTACTTTCAATCGGCCACGGATTTGGATGCTTGCTCCGCCGCTTCTCACAGCTACTCGACGACGCTCACTGTTGGTCCCCTCTGCTCACCGCCGTTGCTCGCTGCTCTCCGCCGCTGCCTCACTTCAAAGCTCTCTGCTGCTGCTTGACACAGAAGCTTCTTGTCACAGAAGATGAAGGACCGAAGAAAGGGAGCACCGTAGAAGATGAAGGAGTTGCTGCGCACGTTTTGACACATTGATTTTTTTATCGTGTTTTAACACATTGATTGGAGGGTAAATTTGGAAAACTTGTCCTATTTAAGGAATAAAATTATAGATGCTCCTGTTTTGGAATTTTATCAACAATTTAGTCCTATTTAGGACTAATCTTCCTTCTTTAATTACACTTTTATTCAAATTTTGTTTTCCTACTCATTAGTCATTACATGTCTAGTCACACAATTTTCTCCTCCCCCAAATTATCACCCTATAATTATTTTCACTTCATATGTTTACTTTTTTCAAATTTTCTATTTCCTTTTTTTACCCAAATTACTTTATTGAATCATTTGCCTAAAAAATGTGCTATTTACTCACGGGAACCTTCCAACGGGACATGGGTAGTATAGTAGTATAACGCATTGAGCAAAAAGTGTATCCGTTTCCGTTTGCACTACGCATGGGAATGCGGGGTGGGCAAAAATACCGAAAAATCGGTATATCGCACTTACCGTACCGAAAAATACCGGAAAATACCGGAATATGGGTATGCCGTCATTTTCGGTACAGTATCATGCCGTACCGATATATTTCGGTATGGTAACGATAAATGCTTTCAAATATTGCGGCATACCAGTATAATACCGTACCGACTTCCTACCCAACAATTACTATAAATTCTAAAATATTGTAAAAGTCCATTACATGTTTGAAGCCCAAAATTAATACTTATGTTGGTTACAAATACTAAAATACTAAAATAAAGACTCAATTTTCCAAACCCATTATAACCTTCTAGGATTCTACTACGTAGCATTGAAACAAACTAACTCTAATGACTAATGAGTAATGTACTAATGTCCAGACCAGTCCATCTTGTTTCATAAGTGTGCGAGTCGCGATGGGTGAGCCGTTGAGTAGCTGAAGAGTGAAGATGGATACACTTATGTGACGAGTGTATCTACATAGGGATTCCGCGAGTCAAGACACACACACATTTGTCCTAAAGTCTTATTCAATTATTTTTTTTAATTTTAAAAATTACTAAATACCCAATATGATATTAGGGATAAATGATTTTATATCCATGTTGTTTGAATAATTTTATTTATTTTTGTTAGAGAACACTATTAATAAAATTATATTTGTATTGTTCAAGTTATTATAGGAGAATGTGTTATTTTTTAATACGTGTCATGTTGAACTGCTTAAATATACTACTCCCTCCGTCCCAGGGAGAAGTTCCCGGGTTGACTTTCACACATATTAAGGAAATAAAGTTAGTGAGGGGTAAATTTTACTGTTTGGCACTGTTTCGACACTGTTTGGCACTGTTTCGACACTGTTTGGCACTGTTTTGCACTGTTTTTATGTAGGATAACTTTCCATTTAAGGAAATGGGAACTTTTTGTTGGGACTGCCAAAAAAGGAAATTGGGAACTTCTCCCTGGGACGGAGGTAGTAATAATTATTGTTCAATATTGAATATGACATCAATAGATTATTAATTGTATTTTGTAATATTTTAATAATGGATTAAATATGTCGCTAGTAACACCGATTTATTATATGTTGTTAGGGATAAATGAATTTATATCCATGTTGTTTGAACAATTTTATTTATTTTTGTTAGAGATCACTATTCAAAAAATTATATTTATATTGTTGAAGTTATTTAATATGTGACATGTTGAACTGCTTAAATATACTAATAATTATTGTTCAATATTGAATATGACATCAATAGATTATTAATTGTATTTTGTAACATTTTAATAATGGATTAAATATGTCGCTAGTAACACCGATTTGTTATATGTTGTTAGTCTATGATAATTTGTTGTATTGGAGGACATGCATGGTAATTTACCAATATCGTACCGTTAGCAAACCACCCCTAGGAATGCATCTTTATATTTGAAATCTCCCCTGTAAGGTTGTCTACAGTGGGAGAGGTGAAAACTCCAAATTTGAGATTTTCACCCCAAATGAGTTACTCCCTCCGTCCCGCTAAGATTATCTCAGACACTATTTACTTGGTCAACATAAATCACTCTTAATCTCTTACTTTATATATCAAATTTTAATCAAATTTAATTCTGGTTTTTGCGACTTTGTAAAGTTTTAATTTAATTTCTGAGTATGTAATTTTTTTTTCTTAAAAATAATTTGAGAGCGGACAAAGATCTATTTATTTTATCGTTGGTCAAACATTATAAACCGAAATACCGAATTGTCCCAATCGTAGAGGGACGGGGTAGTACAACCCACACAAAAAAAAATATACGGAGTATGTAGATGTTAAAGTGAGTGACTGAGTGAGGAACCTTTGGGGTGGGTATTAAGAGGCTGCATTCACCCGAAGGGAGAGAAGAAATGAGCTACGTTTGTTGTGCGTAGGTAAGAAAAGGATAGCTGTCTCCACATAAAACAAAAATCTAAATTTTATTTAAATTAATAGAGTATAACTTTATTAATTGTAATCCAATTTTTACAAAAAATATATATATCAAAATTCTTACTCCTTAAGTTTTTTATAATCTTTCACATTACACCAATATTACATATATACATTTTTAAGAAAAATATGAACTTTTATCTTATGAAGATTTTTAGATTCAACATATTTTCTTAAGTAGATGCAAGTCGTTTTATATAATATTTTTTACAACTTTTGGTTACTTTCTTAAAAAAATGGTCTGAAGTAGCAAAAAAAAATCCAAATTTATTTATTTTTACACTACAGTGTTTGACTATTTAAATCATAGCGATTCACAAAACATATAGGCAAAAGTTAATGTATAATACTACGTAATAAAAGAAAGACTTTAATTTAAAAAAGAAATTGCTATGTGAATGTATTGACGGTATAATTGAATTGTTAGAGTTAATATGTATAAAATGATGGAGATTATTTATTGACCGGGAGTAGGCATGGACTCGGGCCGGGCGGCCCGCCCTGGAACCGGGCCATAGGGGGTTCGGGTCGACCCGGCCTGCTAGTCATACGGTTCGGGCTCGGGCCCTAGGAATGGTGAACCAGCCCGGCCGGTTCGGGCCCGGTCCGGGACTCCGGGCCAAATTTAATTTTTTTTTTTGAATTTTTTTTTTTAAGTTTTTGGGTTGGGCTGAGTATTTTGGGCCATTTGAGGTGGTTTGGGGGTGAGGGGGGAGGGTTGGGAGTTAATTAGGAGAAGCCAAAAAAAAAAATAGATTGGACCGAGCCCGGCCCGAACCGGACCCGGGGGTTACCCGGGCCGATTCCAGGCCTCCCATTCCTGAACCGTGAACCGGCCGGGCCCAGGCCCAAACCGGCCCGAGGCCATGCCTAACCGGGAGAGTTGCGGCTAGACTAAAGAGAGAGAAAAGAACTAGTGTAAAGTACCAATTAAACTGAAAAGTGAGTAAGCCTGAGAACTTTTGTAGCCCAGTGGATTAACTCAGATAACAAGCTTGTCATTAATGGCTTTATGCAAAGAAAAAATCTATTTGTACTTGCCCCCTTATACACACTCTTGTGAAAGGCTATTTTTTGTAGGAGTGGGCGCGGTTCGGAACGGTCCGGTAATTTAGCAAAACCCGTAATGTACCCGTGAGATTTCTAACGGTTCGGTACGGTCCGGTTCTAAGGTTGGAACCATTCGGTACCATGTCATTTCGGAACGGTACGAAACGGTTCGGTACAATGCTAAACACATGCCGAAAAATTTGGACAAATCTTGCAATTAGTATATATAATCACACCAGTTAATTCACATGAAATGTTGATAAAAATACAAGAAAATGCATACTAAATAGTAGAAAAGATTCAAGAGGTTGACATTGTTGTATTTAAATTCACAAATACTCAAATAGTGCAACACAATTAAGTAAAAATATATCAAAACAATGATACACTAGTATAATATCATCCTTATTAAACTCATGTGAAATATAAAAGGAATATCATTAAATTGCTAAAAATAATAGAAAAATTTAACATTCTTCTTCTTAGTTCTAAGTTGAATATTGGTTCTAGTTTAATTCATAGTTCAACCGTTAGAGTTAAGATTCAGACCATATACAAAACTTTATGACACAACAAAATGTCATATACTCTACATTACTATAAATTAATAGTCATTAATGATTTTTAAAACTTTAGCATTCTTTCATTAAATATATACCAAATATAACATAAATTATTTAAAAGGAAAAACTAATAATATTCATATAACACACACATGTATCTATTTTAGGGATGCATGAATAAATACCAGGACTAAACTTGTTGGTCTATAAAAGATATTTATTGGTATTGAAAAATATAAAAATCTCAAAGTCATAAATATTTTTGAACGGTTCGGTCCGGTATTTTTCGGTTCTCAAAATCCAGGACCGGTCCCATACCCGTTTGAAACAGTACGGTTTCGGTTCGGGATTAAATTCTATAGAACCTTTTAAATACCCGATATTCAGTTCGGTACCATTACGGGCCGGTTCGGTACCGGTTCGGCTCAGTTTTTATGCCCACCCCTAATTTTTTGTCTAACAATCCCGTTCACAGACAAAACAAAAAATTTTGTGAACATTTTTATAGACAAAAACACGTATGTTTTATGAATTTATCTGTGACAAAAAAAATAGTCTCTCACAAGGGTGGGTTATGAGTGGGGTATAAGAGTGGATACAAATAACAAAGTTGTTATGTAAATCTTACAAACTTTAAAGGGTGTTTAAAGATGGAAAAAAGTTAGTTAAAAAGACTCGTTGGCACTCAACAATTTGCATTCATCTCTTTTCATGGCCGCATGGTTAGAGTGGTTTTAGTGAAGCAATGTGAGGAGGGAGAGAGCAGAACGAAGACAGTCTTCGCCAACAACAATGTGGTCAGGAGACTGGAGAGGTTGTGTGGTGGCGAGTTCAGGGACGATGAAGTAGCGACTGGGATGAAGAAGAAGAAGAAGACTGTCGTCGGAACGTTCAATTTCTCACTTTCGTAGGAAGACTTTTGTAGTAGTAATTGGTAAATGTGGCATAGCCATCTTCATCGAAAACACATCTCATCAAGTTCCGGGATCCCAGAAACTCCAATTGCCACACATATAATGAATTTCTAATGTAGTATTTGTAATTCAATTTAATTAACACTCATGCCTCTGTCTTTGATCTCCATCATTTCTAGCAGCAGTTCATCCTCCTCTTCCAAATGAGTTGCCATTGAGTTGGTTGGCTATGAATAACTCTCACCCACGACCAGTGCTCCACACAACTCTTCAACAACAGCATAGATGTGTTTGACAGCCAATATGCTATGTGACCATTTTCTGACTCATCCTGTCAATGATGTTAGGAAAAAACGTGTATTAAAAGCATATTCATGTTGTAACTGCAATTTTTTTGGAGGTGGCTTCTTGTCAAGACGTAAGAACATCCACGGACTTCTTATTTCCCAAGGATAATAGACTTTAAGACTTGAACAGCTAAACTAATTGATGATTCTAAGACAGGAAACACTTAAAATTAATAGTTGTAAGCCCCTAAGATGCGGACTAAGATATGGTCAATCACCTCTATAGCAGCACCAATCATCTGGATAAGGCAGTCAAATATATTAGTTTTCTCTGCTTCAAAGGATTTCCAATGAAGAAGGCATTTGTATATTGTAAATGCTGCAACGGGTTTTCCTTCACTGAAGCCAAGATCTCCAGATGCACGTCTAATAAGTAATAATAATATCAACATTCTCCTGGGACAGTAGTCTAGAACATGAAATAAGTCCATAGGTCTATGCACTATTTATCTTCATAAAAAAAAACAGATGAAGGGCTCAAAGCATCATTTTTCTCATTTGTGAAGATACAAGCATCTATGCACTATTGTGAAGTTTCTTATGGGGCTTACAGTTATTAGTCTTATTACTATACTCCCTCCACAAGGTTATAAATATATACTAGTAATCATTAAACTGTATGTTTTAAAACAGATAAAAGTCAAAAATATAATTATATCAACCATAAAAACATGGTGTAATAAAAATCAACACAATTCATATAGTCCAAATCCTTAGTCTCAATTCTGTAAAATAATGACAGCATTACCTCCATGAGATTAGTTCTAAAATAAATTTGGTGTGGCGCACTCACGAGCTCACCATGAGTGTCTAGAGGAATGCTAGCTCGTCACCATAAGTCATCATGATAAGGCATCAGGTAATCACACAAAGTATGGCGGGAGATCAAAGCGTATCACGCAATAGAACAAGTGATGGCAAGGATAGTCACACCAATATCGAGAGGAATGTGATGATGAATGCACTAGAAAAAGTGTGCAACCAGCTGTTTCCATGATATATCAGATTGGTAGGATGGTGAAAGGAGGTTTCCATCAACTCCCATCCATTCAACCACAATCTGACCCGCTCCAGTAGTGAAGAAGAAAGACTAATAGGGTCAGCAAATTAATACTAAATTATGATATATCAGAGTATGGAGCATTATTACATCCAAATTTTGCAAAAAGCAATTGATATATCAGAGTACGCCATAATCCATGAATGGATTCATACCCACGTATCCATGACAAATTCTCAACCTTTTGAGTGATGGAAGTAGTTTGACACCTTCCATCATATCAATGCCCAGCCCACTGTCCCAAAAGTGAACAATCTTAAACCATGAGAGGTCATGGATTACCACAAGCATCATTGATGTAGGCTCTCACTTGTCTACCAGAAGACGAAACTTCACGCGTTTTTTAACACTGCCCACCCTCTCATATCCAATCCCAATTTTACTATGCATCAATTTTATAGCTAAATCTGCATTCCCAGCTTTCCTTAGGGCAGTTATAAAAACAGTACGAACCCTGCCCGGAATTTCCCTACCACGGTCAACAATTCCATCAGCTAACTTGCAAGCCTCCACAAGACGGCCCGCCTTGCACAGAACATTAACCATGTCTTCAAAAGCAGTATCTAGAACAATACCCATCGGTGCCAGCTCATCCAAAATCTTACAAGCCCTTGCCACCTTACCCGAAAGACAAAGCCCAGTTGAAAGAGCTCTAAATGAAGCAGCTGTTGGAGTTATGCCCTTGTCAATCATCTTATTCCACAGTTTCAATGCCTCTTCATTGCGGTGGTCACGAAACAGACCACTGATCAACATTGTGTATGTATAGACAGTTTGATCACAACCTTCTTGTTCCATTCTATTGAAAAGCATCAAAGATTCGTCCACCTTTCCAGCTTTAGCTAGGGCATCTATTAGTGCATTATAACAGTAAGAATCACGAGGGCACCCCTTTTCAGCCATCTCCTCAAAGAGCTTTTTAGCCTCATCCACTCTCCCCGCCTTCCCAAGACCATCAATTAGACTTGAATAAAGCTTGGCATTTATACCCTTATTATTATTCTGACAATACTCAAGCCATTGTAAGGCTTCTTCCAATCTACCACACTTGGACAGACCATTTACAATAACCCCATATGTAAATTCATCGGGTTCAATCCCTTCATCCTTCATTCTATCAAAGAGCCTTATTGCAGCTTCCAAGTAAGAATTTTTCATGTATGAATCAATCAAGGCCGTATAAATTGCAGGATTAGGTCTACAACCCTTCCTAACCATGTTATCCAAAATGGCATGTGCTTCCAGAGACTTACCATCTCTACAAAGCCCACCAATTACTAAACTATAAGCATGTGATGGAACTTCCAGCTCCTTTTCCACCATTTCATGATAAAGCCCCAGGCACATGTTATGATCTCTCTCAGAATAGCTTGCCTGGATGAGGGTCATATAAGTAATTTTATCAGGTACCACATTTTTAACCTCCATGTCTCTAAACTTCTCCATTGCTTTTTGCACCTTGCCGGTCTTGCAATACCCTTTGATCATTGTATTATATGTGACAATATCGGGTTGAATTTTCCCACTTTCCATAACTTCAAAAACTTGTTCAGCAGACTCAATAAACATAGCATTCACCAAACCATTCAGTAGAAAATTATAAGTATACAATGTAGGTTGAATCCCACACTCTTTCAAGCCTCTCCATACCCACAAAACCTCCTCAACCATCCCCACACTTCCAAGACTCCTGACCAACGAATTAGCCCCAGACAAGTTCATCTTAAAATCACTGTCTTTGAAGTCCTTAAAAACATCTCTTATTCTATTTGCATCACTGCAAGCTGATAAAATAGCTATCAAATACACATAGCATTCAAAACTATGGGCATACCCTTTTTGCCTGCCAGCCCAAGTGAAGAACCGATAAGCAGTAAGAGAATTTTTAGGAAGCTGGTCTGAGTTCAGCACGAATGCAACAAAATTGGGTGATAGCTTGATGAGAAACTTGTTGCAGTAAGCTGTCAAGTTTCCCTCCATCTGAGGCGAATTGTCTACAAGATTCAAAATTTGGGACACCCAAGGAGAAGGCTGGATATTTTTGTAGTCGGTGATAACGTCGGAGAGGTCTGTAAAAGGCTGCACCCACTCAGGCGGAGGAAGTTCGGTGCTTGTAGATACCCATCTTGGGGCCGGAGGGGAATGGAAAACAGGGCACGATTTCGAGAAATATGGAGAGGGTAAAGCGGGGAAATTGGACTTTCCAGTGCGGTGTTTGACGATTGCAGCAAAGATGTGAAATGTTTTTCTCATAGTGAGTGATTATTGGAGTAGAAATTTCGGTGCTGCACTAATTCATCCGCTTAGCTGCTACCGAGTGAGAATCTCCAATTTGAATAGAAGGGCTCCCGGACCAAAACTCCGGTGAAAAGCGTCCTCGAGCAACGGGGCCGGTGCTGGAAGGGTAGACCGGAACCAAACTGCTGCCGCTACCCTCCCGTAAAATCTGGTCTGATCGATACGTTAAATGTCTGATCTTGTATATTTCGGTGCTGTATATTTTGTATCTATATAAATGTGGTCTGGTCTGGTCTTGTCTTGTCTGGCCTGGTACGGTCTGAAACTAAAAAATGCTCAAAACAAAACATCCTAATAGTAATAAATTACAGATAATTTGCTTTAGAAGTTAGAATAAAGTGGGAATGTATTATTGTTATTGAGTAATAAAAAGGTAAATAATCAATTAAGTCCATCTAGTCCAAAAAATTAATCAAATTCGTCATTTGAGCGGTTAGCAGCCAGTAATCCCGGTAGTTTCTCATGTGGAGGCCCACGTTGCAATATTTTTAATTTTATCATTTCTTTTCCTTTTTTGTTTTCTCTTTCTTTCTCTCTCAGACCACCTCTTCTTCTTCCCTAATCTTCTATGTGTTTTATCGTTCTTTCTTTTTTATTCCTTTCTTACTTACTCTGTATTTTCTTTGTTCTATTACTTTCTTATCGCCACTGTGGACTGCTCGTCGGCCGTACTTCTCCAATCTGGATCTTCCATAGCCAAAGCTTGGCCAGCCGCCGCCAAGCGATGTCCGTTGTCTCCCACAATTCCCCAACCGCCGTCACCCGCAGCTCAAATTGTTCCCAACGGATGCCGCGTGCCACCATCTCCCATGTGTTCTTCAACCGCTGCCGGACGCCCACCTCCCGTCGGCCACAACTTCTCAACCGCCGACACCCATCCAAGAAAGAGAGTTGAAAGAATTGAAGAAAAGAAAGAAAAAGAAATTGGAAAATAAAGAAATTGGGGTGAGGGAGAAAACCATGAGGAGAAGGATAGTGAAGGGAAGAAGAAAGAAAGAAAACAAGAGGGGGGAGAAAGGTACTGGTACGACACTGGGAAGAAGAGGTCTGTAAGGAAGAAGATGGCTCACCGTTAGCAGAGAAAGAAGCAAAGAAATAAAAAAACGGAATAGAGGTAATTGCCACGTGGGCCTCCAGATCATCATGTATATGGGCTACCGGTTGCTTACCGGTGAAATGGCGGATTTGGTTGATTTTTTGAACTTGGTGGACTTGATTGATTCGAAAAATAGTAGAAGGACTTAATTGACTTTTTCACGAAAGTACGAGGACCTATTTGACAGTTTTCCCGTAAATAAATGTTAGTCGCACAAAACTTTACAAAAATGGTAAGTGAGAAGAATTTTTTAGACATCCCAAAATAGTATGTTGGAAAATTTTTATCGGACAGTGTAAGTAGTTAAATAAAGTACGAGTAATTTAGATAATAATAAAAAAGATCAAAGGGAAAATTTAGAAAAGTAAACATATAAAGTGAAATTAATTAAAAGGAGATAAGTTGAGAGAGGGGAAATTGTGAGACTTGACATGTTATAAGTAGGAAAGAGAATTAAAGAGAGTAAATTAATTTAAAAAAGGTGTAATTAAAGAGAGTAAATTAATTTAAAAAAGACTAAAATAAAATGAGAACCTTTAAATGAGACATTAAAATAAGAAAAGTAAAAATTCTTTCAACAAGACAGAGGGAGTATTATTTTTTGCCTTCCTTTTTTTGAGGCCATGTTCAATGGGATTGGTTCTCCTCCCTAGTGACGGAGCCACATTAGTTCAAAAATGTTCATATTAACACTTAGAATTTTGAAAAGTATGTTAGGATGTTTTTACTTGGACTGTAATTTGTTGATCTAGTCCGATCTAGTCTGTTTAAGTATGATCTAGTTTGGTTTGGTATGTCCGGTCTGGTAAACGTTTGGTCTCTGTGTATTTTATGACTACGGAAGTCAAGTCTGGTCTGGTCTGGTTAAGTCTGATCTGATCTGTTCTGTTTAAGTCTGATCTAGACCTGAAAACAATCAAAGTAAGAACATCCTTAGTATAAATTTACAAATTTAGTTAAATTATTGATTGTTCTTTCAAGTTTTAATGGTATAAGAGAATGAACACCCAAAAACCAGATCATTTATCTGGGGGTGGGGGCGAGTTCAGGACAACGAGCTCGCCCAACAAGTTGAAAAGAGAATGCACAAGCTCTCTAGTTTATTTTTTCGGCTTTTAGCTTTATTTTTCAGACTAGTAATTTTGTTTTTGGTTTTGTTGGTTGTTGAGTTAATGGCCCAACCAGGGGTCGGCTCATTATCCCGTTATATGAGAAGCTTCAGGGCCCAACGGGAAAGGAGCGTCAGACGCTTGTCTTCAGGCTCCAATGCCCACCAGGGGAGTTATCCACAATAGCCCAAGGCATGCCCGATGTACGTTCCATGTACCGGACACACGGCCTCAGAAACTTAGTCGTCAAGGCTACCCAGGGCGCTCTAGAATCCGTAGCCAGGTGACATGAGGAGACGTTTGGCCCCTGCCCCTAACCAACACCAAGAGAAGGTTCAAGGCCCAGGGGAGGCTCCTCCCCAAGTCTGGGTGGGAAACCAAGATTCTGGCGGGAAACATATTTAACGCTGGAGATTTGGTGGTTGGGAGCCTTAACCATCCACAGCTCTCCACGTCAGCACTCCTAACTACCCCTTGGTAGTATAAGTAGTAGCATTTATTTCATTGTAAATGGTTGACAACTTATTCGCCCTAGCACTCTAGCATTCTCTCTAGCTTATAGCAGTATGCTCAGCTCTTCCTTAGCGAGAAAGACGATCGGCCTAAGGCCAGGTAGCATTTGTGCGTTGTATACGGACCATTATTATCATTAATAAGATGTGACCCGCTGCTGCAGATATATTTTAGCCCATCTTGCTTGCACTTCATACTTTCATACACTCTTCCACTTGAAATCCTTGGGTTGCGTGTTGGGCCCCCGGATTGAAGGAATAAACCTTAACATTGGTTTTGGACTTGTTAGTCAGAACTTTAGTTGGTTTTTCATTTGGACTTTTAGCTGGAGCATCCGTTCTGTAGATGTTCTATGGGGCAAACATTATTTTGCTTCAAGTTGTCCGCTGAGTGGTTAGCGAATTGTTGTGTTTGTAGCACATACAATTGTATGTCTAATCCTAGGGAAGGTGACTGAAATGGGAGGATTTGTCTTCATGCTAGTCTCCGTATATCCAATATTTTAATATAACTGCCACTGCTTCTCCCTTGGACCGGCCCTGTTGAGTAACCCCGGATACGTATAGTATAAATAAGCCAGCCTACACTGGTTCAACTCCTTTTGACACCTATGGTCCCTCTTAAAGGTGATTTAAGTATTTAACTATTGACATGAGTGTCAAGCATCTTGTGATTCGATGACATCACTGTGACACTTTGAAGGAGGAGATCGTAGGTTCGAAACCCATCTTAGGATGTTTTCTTTTGGACTGAAATTTGCTGATCTGGTCTGGTCTGAACTGGTCTGGTAAACGTCTGGTCACTGTGTATTTTATAACTACGGAAGTTAAGTCTGATCTGGTCTGATCTGGTTTGGTCTGATCTGGGATCGAAAACAGTCCAAAAGAAAACATCCTTAGTCAAGGATGTTGGCATACTATGTGAAATGAGAATGTCTACTACTCCGTATGTATATATTTAATGACACTAATAGAAATCTGCGGAAAGAATATGATGAAAGAAACAAAGAAAATTATATAGTCGCTATATATTGAAATAAATTATTTGGTCACTCTTAAATGTCTACTACTCCGTATTTCTTTTATTTGATGTGTGTAGTGTATATTATTAGATACTTCTATCTTGCAAAAGTTGAAATCATAACACCACACCTCTCAACTAAAGGCTACATTATATGGCTGGTAGAACAAATGTAAAAAAAAACTACTCCCTCCGTTCCCAAAAATATTTCTCACTTTCCCTTTTTGGACAATTTGGATGATTCATATTCATTTTACATTTTTCTTACACAACCACAATCATACATTTCTACTTTAATCCACTTTCTTAATAAGCGTGTCATTCAAACTTGGGGAAAAAATGGAGGTAGTAATAAATTTCCCTATTTTTTGGAATAGCACTAATGTTATTTTTAGGGTTACCAACTATCAAGTACTATATGATAAAAAAAAAACTATCAAGTACTTAAATGTGACTTTTTTGAACAAAATGTGAGCAAGTCAAGTCAAGCACCCATAAGTCATAAATGAAGTAGCAACAAGATTAATAATATGGCGATCGCAGGAGAAGGTTTTGCCGTGGGAAAGTTGTTCAAATAAAGATGAGCATAGAGTGAGCTTCCCATCTTATATACCACATTTGATGGAGAATTTAACATCACTGTCACACTGTGTGGTCACTAACGTGCCAGGTACTAGAGTCACTATTCACTAATGTGCTTTGGCCTTTGAGGTGTGTTTTGATTTCCTGGTGGTATTGGGTGGTGCTCGTTGCGGTAACTGAAGGTGGTGGCTACGGTGGCTGGGCGGCTTTTAGTATTACAGTAAATGTAATAAATGTAGTATATAACAACAAGCAATCTCCTCACAGTGACTATGTCAGCATACAAAATGTTCTATTTCAGTGATTGTTTTAATCAAAATTGTCTCTTAAGTGTACATACAAAAAGGCATATCCCGCGCTAGGGAAGCGATGACTTCAGCGGATGAGCCCGCCCTTCTCACTTAGGTCAGGTAGGTGTACTTGATCACTTCCCAAGCATTCGGTCAATTTCACCATTTCGGTTATACATGGCAACGATCTTCTTTGCATATGAAGGCATGTGCATCCCAGCTCTGCATTCATCCAAATCCCATGCAAAAAAAGAATCATAATAACAATATAATCAACCCCTCCTGCTCTGGGATACATTTAACTTTTTTATACCTTTTGCTTCCCCATGTGCGTATTACATGCAGATAATTTCGTATGGTGTGGTAATCCAATGAATACCGGGCAAATTCCAGACCCTTTGGACCAACCTGAAGCAGAATGGAACTGTTAGAGCTGAACTTATAAGTTGCGGGCATAACCATCTGCTGCATTAAATCGAAAAATAAAGCCTCACCAGGTTTAAAATAATTGCTATTAAGTTGCCAATAAACTTTGGAGCAGGCTTAGAAGGGCCTCTTCCTGGAGAATTTATTAAAAAAATTGATCTAGTGTCATACCAACCCTGTACATAATCTTGTTGAA